AGTTTGGGCACCCAGCTCTCCCCTCCTGCCAGCCAGGACAGTGACCTGCCACCTCCCACACACTCCTCCCCATCAGGGACCAACTCTCACCACCAGGGGTGCTGCCTTCACCGGCTCCATGTCACCGAGGTCACCAGATCGGTCCAGTGTCCTGCTGTGGTCCCTCTCATTGAGTGTGGAATAGTTGTCTGGAGCAGGAGAGGGGACACCAGCCACGTTACCTCCAAGGCACGCAGCACCATCCCCACAGGAGCTGCAAGCCCCGTCCTCTCCCAGCATACCCAGAAGGCAAGATGCCCCCTTCCAGTCCCTCTCCTACCTGGTCCCATGTTGCTCATCTGGATCTCCTCCCGGGAGGACTTCTTGTCTACAAGCAAGGGAGAGCAGCAGGTCAGACCTAGCCCCTGCAGCCAGAAGCAGCAGAGGAATTGCTGCCCACCCCAGCTGGAATGGCCCAGACCCAATCGCAGCCACAGCTCTGCTGACCCAAGGATACCACAGGACCTATGCTAACTGCATGCAGCATTTCTAGCCCTGGGAAGCCATCTAAAGCCCAAACTGATGGCCTTGTGTGAGCAACTGTGGCTCCCAAGAAGGCCAGGGCTGAAGAGCAGGGTGGGAACAAAGGCCTGTTCTTCTGGTACCCACAAGGTAGAAGGAGGACATGGGGCAGGTGCTGCAGGGAAGGCACATACCTGTTTTTTGGTTCCTGTCGATGAGAGGCAAGGTGCTGTCATCAAACGAGTTGCCTCCCTGGGTCCGAGAGGTGTTGCTCAGGTTCACCTGGAGCATCAGACAGTGACCACTCACACCCTGGCCCAGACACTCCTTCCCCATCAGCACACATTCCACCCCTTCGTCCCCCAACACCCAAACAGACCCAGGAACCCTCCCACAGCCCCTGGGTGAGGGGCCTGAGGGAACCAGAGGGTGCTCTGAAGCCTGGGGCTGCACCCACACAAGAGCAGGGGTGGCCTGCTGTGACCAGGTTGGGCAGCACTTCCAGAATCAAAGAGAGAACTAGGTTTTGGGAAAAAACTGAGCCCTAAGACCCCTCTTCTTCAGCACTGCCACAGTGGCTTTTAGTGCTGCAAACCTTCCTACCTGCAGATCTGCACACTTATGTGAGGGACACAGGGCTCAAAGCTTAACAGAGTGTTTCTTAGTGGACACTTCCTGCCAGGTGCCCACTGAGGCATGGCAGAGGAGCCAGCTTCGAGAGTCTCCAATCCCACTAGCAAGGTAAGAGCTGAAATCCAGTACTGCTGAGCTCCCAGAACACCCTTCTCCCTGCTGCAGGGCATACCTACTGCCCCAGACACAACAGGGCACCCCCATCCCCATACCTGAAAATCTGATTTCTTCCACCAGCTCTCCCCTCCTGCCAGCCAGGACAGTGACCTGCCACCTCCCACACACTCCTCCCCATCAGGGACCAACTCTCACCACCAGGGGTGCTGCCTTCACCGGCTCCATGTCACCGAGGTCACCAGATCGGTCCAGTGTCCTGCTGTGGTCCCTCTCATTGAGTGTGGAATAGTTGTCTGGAGCAGGAGAGGGGACACCAGCCACGTTACCTCCAAGGCACGCAGCACCATCCCCACAGGAGCTGCAAGCCCCGTCCTCTCCCAGCATACCCAGAAGGCAAGATGCCCCCTTCCAGTCCCTCTCCTACCTGGTCCCATGTTGCTCATCTGGATCTCCTCCCGGGAGGACTTCTTGTCTACAAGCAAGGGAGAGCAGCAGGTCAGACCTAGCCCCTGCAGCCAGAAGCAGCAGAGGAATTGCTGCCCACCCCAGCTGGAATGGCCCAGACCCAATCGCAGCCACAGCTCTGCTGACCCAAGGATACCACAGGACCTATGCTAACTGCATGCAGCATTTCTAGCCCTGGGAAGCCATCTAAAGCCCAAACTGATGGCCTTGTGTGAGCAACTGTGGCTCCCAAGAAGGCCAGGGCTGAAGAGCAGGGTGGGAACAAAGGCCTGTTCTTCTGGTACCCACAAGGTAGAAGGAGGACATGGGGCAGGTGCTGCAGGGAAGGCACATACCTGTTTTTTGGTTCCTGTCGATGAGAGGCAAGGTGCTGTCATCAAACGAGTTGCCTCCCTGGGTCCGAGAGGTGTTGCTCAGGTTCACCTGGAGCATCAGACAGTGACCACTCACACCCTGGCCCAGACACTCCTTCCCCATCAGCACACATTCCACCCCTTCGTCCCCCAACACCCAAACAGACCCAGGAACCCTCCCACAGCCCCTGGGTGAGGGGCCTGAGGGAACCAGAGGGTGCTCTGAAGCCTGGGGCTGCACCCACACAAGAGCAGGGGTGGCCTGCTGTGACCAGGTTGGGCAGCACTTCCAGAATCAAAGAGAGAACTAGGTTTTGGGAAAAAACTGAGCCCTAAGAACCCTCTTCTTCAGCACTGCCACAGTGGCTTTTAGTGCTGCAAACCTTCCTACCTGCAGATCTGCACACTTATGTGAGGGACACAGGGCTCAAAGCTTAACAGAGTGTTTCTTAGTGGACACTTCCTGCCAGGTGCCCACTGAGGCATGGCAGAGGAGCCAGCTTCGAGAGTCTCCAATCCCACTAGCAAGGTAAGAGCTGAAATCCAGTACTGCTGAGCTCCCAGAACACCCTTCTCCCTGCTGCAGGGCATACCTACTGCCCCAGACACAACAGGGCACCCCCATCCCCATACCTGAAAATCTGATTTCTTCCAGCCTTCCTTCTCCAGGGGCTTCCGCAGCTCTTTGTATCCCCAGACTGTCTGCAAGACCAGGGCAGCTGCTCGGACTTCTCTCTCCGAACGGTTCCTAGAAAGATGTGAAGCAAAAGATGTTTGGAAATACCAGCAGCCTTGAGGAAGCTCCTGGAGAAGCCCATCTCTGCCCCTTGCTTATTACCCTTTCAGCAGAGCCTACCCAGATTTGTTGATCAGCACCAACTTCTCAATGCCCTGCGTTTCCCGCAGCTTCTTGGCAGCCTCAAGGTTGTCAACAATTACTTCATTGATGGTGTTGAGGATTGACACCACTGTGTCCTCAGAGAGGTTTTTGGCTGGAGCCTGCTGGCCCCCAGGCAGGTTCTTCACTAGGTTGGGAATGGCATGTTTACCTGTGAAGGAGAAAGGGCTGGGCCTGAGCAAGTGAGGAAGAGACCTACAAGTTGGGGGGGGGGAAGCATGGGATCACTGCAGCAGCACCAGGGACAGGTGCCGGGTTTTGATGCCTCTTCTCAGCAGAGCTCGGCACACGCTGCTCTGGGAGAGAAGCAGTAGACGGACATGGGTCACACGCTGTCCACACACTTCCCTGGGTCAGGAGGATCCCACCCAGTGTGGCGGGACGGGCAGAGAACGGGTCCCCTCACCGATCAGCTCCTTGTTGCGCAGATCGACCGCCAGGTTCCGCAGGGCGCCCGACGCCGCCTTCACCACGCGCTCGCTGTCCTGGCTCAGCAGGTCCGCCACGGCCGACAGCCCCTTCTCCTGCCGCAGCGCCCAGCGGATGCAGCGCCCGTACTGCGGGGACAGCAGCATCACCAGGCACGCCCGGGGGCCAGCACTGCCACCCACCCCCCCCCGGAGCCCAG